AAAAAAAAAAAAAAAAAACGATCGCCTTCGTTTTCTTTTCTTCCTCGATATTTATTATTGCCCGAAATACACCGTCCCCTTCTTCCCTTTCTATTCGATTTCTTCTTCGTGCGCTTCATTCACCCCGTGACGCGACGTTCCCCCGCCTCCTGTTCCATTTCTCGCGCTCTACGCATTTGGATCGCATCCTCGATCGATCTAACGATCTCACGCTACGCTACTTTCGGTCACTCGAAATCGAGAACGGGGGAAAACACGAGTCGACGAACGAGGCGGGTGCCTGAAACCGCGATCGGGCCGTGTGTCTCCTTTCCACGCGAAATTATTAAACTAAAAAACTCTTTCCTCGTTTTCTCCTCTTCACGCACTCCCTATGAATACTTTCGTACATCGTATCGATCGCTCTTGGTCATCACTCGCTCTTAGTTTTCTTAGTTAACAAACTAATTAGTTTTTAAACAACTTGAGCATAGAGGTGGGGCGCCGATCGTGTCGCGTTTCGTGTTCGTTTCCTCGCCTCTCTTCGAGGGGAGGAAGGAGAGCAGATGAGAGGAGAGGAGGGGAAAAAGCGGGGGGAGAAGGGGGCAGGGGATTTTGTATTTCGTTCTTTCTTTTTTTTTTTTTTTTTTTTTTTTTCGTCCATCGAACTGGAGGATGGACGGAGATGAACAAGAATAATTGTTTCGTTTTTTTTTTCGTCGGAAGGAGGAACGAGCGGTTCGAGTTAAGTTCACGTTTAAAGAAAAAATTAGGAGAAATTAAAAAAATAGTAGGTTCTGTTAGATTGTTTGAAAATATGATAAAAATAAAAAGAAAAAAATCTTTTCATAAGCCCTGGTACCTCGCGGATCGATTAAGACCGATTAAGAGGAAGAGTCACGAAACGAAACACTGGCGGCGCCGTAACAAGAAATTATCTATAGTACACAGTGTTGTTCTTCTCTCTTTTCTTTTTTTTTTTTTTTTTTTTTCCTTTTTTTTTCTTCGCTACGCCGGCGAATTTTCTCACGCCTCGAATTTTTCTAAATAGCTCGTTCGATCGACCTCGACGATCGCGCTTTATTTTATATTATTTTATATAGATTGTCGAAATGAAAGGAAAAGAAAAAAAACTGGGTGAAGAAACAAGAAAAAAACGAAGGAAGACCGATCGTCGAGGTTGGTCGTAACCGCGAATACGTACGGAACGGAAACGCGCTCTTAAGAGAAAGAAAAATTATCGTAAATAACTTTGGGCAACGATTGCTTACTTCTTTTCCCTCCCTTTTCTCCATTCGTTCTCTCTCTCTCTCTCTCTCTCTCTTCTCTTTTTCCATTCTCTCTCTTTTTTTTTGTCTCACACACGCGATCTTCCCTCGCATAACACACACGTATACACATACACACACACACTCTCTCGTTCTCTTTTTCGCTGTTTTCTCGTTAGACAAGGTACTTAGAATATCTTCAGTAGAGTCTATATCCTCTTCCTCTCTTTTTTTTCCCCTTACGCACCTACCGAATATCGATCAATTAATTAATTAATCAATTAATAATAATAATATATAATATTTATTTATTCATTTATTTATATATATATATATATATTTATATATTTATATAATAACTATATACAAGGAGGTTCTCCGTACCGTTTTCTCTTTCTCTCTTTTTCTCTCTCTCTCTCTCTCTCTCTCTCCTTATTTCTTTCTTTCTCTGTGCGCCTGTGTAGTTGCTCGCATTTTCAATCTTTCTTTTCTTTCTCTCTTTCTCTCTCTCTCTCTCACACTCCTCGTTCCCTTTCTCTTTTTTTTTATATTCTCTATTATCTCCGTTACTTTCGCATTTAATTATTTCGTGGCACTGTCGTCAATTCTATTCTAAGTCTCTCTCTCTCTCTCTCTTTCTCTCTTGCACCCTCTCTTGCACCCTTTCTCTTTCTCTCTCTGATACACTCCTCTTCTCCTTTCGCCCTCAAAGGTATTCACACGATTTGTGCCCTCATGTGTGTACGCGTGTAACTCCTATTTTATTTATTTATTTATTTATTTATTTATTTTTTTAAAAAGTGCGTGTGATGCTTAGACTCCCATTTTCTTCTCTCCCTCTTTTTTCTTTTTTTTTACCCCTCTTCCACCCGCTCATACATACATATACACAGACACGCGTACATATAGACACATACACACATGCATACACACACACATACATCTACACCACACACCACACAGCAGAGTTTCCGGCTTTCTCAGACACACATACACACATTCGCTTCGTTAATTATCCCGTTGCGAGCGAAACGTCCACTCGACCCAGAAAGGTATGCCCACCCCCTTGCACCGGTTTCAGGGGGTGAGCCACCCCTTGGAAAATAGCTCTACTCCACGACACGATTTCTCCTGGCTTTGCTATTCCCTCTTACGTACGATGCTCCTGGGAGGCAGAAAAGCGAAAAGAACGGAATTGTCGGCGGTCCCATCGATTCTCGTCGGTTATACAGATTTCCCCCTCCCACTTTTCTTTCGTTCCTCCACCGGCAATCAAGGGAACTTTGGAACTTTACGACCTTATAATTTAAATCAATTTCTTTTTAATGGAACATGGAAACATGGTCGCTCTCGAGAGCTGCTAACTCGTTGATTCATTGATTTGCGTGATTCTTTAGTAGTTTGTTTATGATCGCGATTCCTAGTTCTGTTGGCCAGTTGGAATTTTGAAAGAGAACTTTTCGAAATAATAATTCAACGAAGATAATAAAGTTATACTGACAGCTTTGTAATTTAAACCAATAATCCAATGCATTCCATCGTAATGGAATTTAGAGGAAAAGGGTCAAAAAGCGGTGGTATCACGGAGATATTTTACACACGTATCACGTACGTGTAACGAGGCTAACCAACAAAGTCGCCTGCCCCAAAGTGATAAAAGACCAAAAATACCACTACGAATCGTCGTGATAACGAAATCCATGAAAAATTTAAATCAAAATTCCACGGATCTTTAACACTCGAACTCGTGCCAGAAGAAAAAAAAAAAAAAAATCATAAACGAAAATTATACGTAGGAGACAGATAATCGCGCCAATCGAGTTAAAACTATTAATACCAGATTGCATGATCGTCGATGGGACCACCGAGTCATCAAGTAGTACCAGAAAGAAAAAAAAAAGAAGTGGAAAAAAGATAAAGAAAAAAAATACAGGAGGAATTACCTGGAAAGGAAATTATTGTTATCGCATCCTTGGGGCGCGAGTCGCTTTCGCGAGAATTATTTTTCGCCAAGTGAAATTTTCCAAGACGAGAATAAAAATTATCGTTTGCAACAAAATCACTCTCCGCGCACTTATTTTTCTTACTTGCGAAAAATAATCTCAACTTTCCCGAGAGTTTTACTCTCTGAAATATATATATATATATATATGTATATTCGCACCCCAAGGAGACTTTTCATGGATGAAATTTCGAAGGGTGGAGGAAAAGTGTTCTGATGGTTGGAACTCGGGTGGGACGTCCCTCGAAAATAGTTTCACTAGGAAATGCGTCAGGATTTCTGTGCCAGCATGGATCCCTGGATGTCTGGGTGACTATTCGCCGAGGACATCGAGAAACACGCCCGTCGATTATCTTTCCAAGCTACTTTCTATCTAACTTCACGAACGTGAAAGTTAATCAGGCTAAACGGCCGGTTACACTGGGGAGGCTCGATCGATCCTGCCGATTCACGATGGATCGATGGGAAGCCGTGATCGATACCGTGCCGAACAGGGTTACTTTCTAATATTCGTTCTTCATGCATGGATGCACGGTCGCATTGGAGCGATTAAAAGTCGCCGATTTGCATTCGTCTCGCGAATGCTTTTTCGAGAAGATTAATAATACTTCACCGGATGGAACGATAGGATGTAGGATTTCTTTTTTCTTTTCTTTTCTTTTTTTTTTTTTGTTTTTTCCCCTCGATCATTCTCGTTTGTTTAGAATTCTTCTTGGAAAAGAGAAGGTTTTTTTTTTTTTTTTGACTAACTGGTAAGAGATTGGCTAAGTGGTTAGCGATAAAAGAAAAAGATAATCGTTTAAAACGTAAAAGAAAATTTCCTATCGAAATAGGAAAACCTGGAAAATCTTCTTATACGTACAACTGACGAATGTGTACGGATACAACGCGCGATAAAAATCCTTTCTTAATAATTTCTTTACTTAAAACTAAGTAAAAATTTCAATCTAACGATCATCCTCGAGCGATTGGCCACCCTCGGTCACCCGAGCTCGGAGAAAGAAAAGACAGGAACGATTTTGTACGCATCGTACAACAACAAGGTTATTTTTTCTAAAAAAAAAAAAAAAAAAAAAAGTGGTCACAGAATTTTCTACGGGATCTTTTTACAAAAGTGGAGGGAAGAGAGAGACCGGGCTACTAGGAGCGGCGAATTCGATCGACGCGTCGGATCTATCGGCGGATGAGAAAAAAAAAAAAAAAAAAAAAAAAAAAGAATTGCCGTAGGTGAGACGCGTCGTTCGAGTTGGCTACCCCCCTCGCGCAGGTTTTTCTCTTGAAAAACTGGGGGGGGAGGAGAGACGACAAGGACGCGGGATGAACATGGAACACCGAGTGTACGCGGATAAAGAAAAAAAGAAATCGAGGAGAAATAGCGATATAGATTTTTTTCTTTTTTTTTTCTTTTCTTTTCTTTTCTTCTTTTTTCTTTTTTTTCTTTTTTTTTTTTTTTGTTCCTAATCTCCAAGACCAGCCGGAGTTACTGCTTCTCCTTGAGTCCGCCTAGGAGAGCGTGGCTCTCCATCGTCGCGCTCAGATTGCTGAGATTGCTCAGATTGCCTAGGTTCCCTAAATTGCCTAGGTTGCCGAGGTTAGGTTGATGCGCGTAGTTCCTGATCTGGTGGAGGCTGATCAATTGATTGGGGAACGAGGTCGCGTTCTGATTGGTGGTTGTGCCGGACGTGACCCCGGACGACGAGGACGCTGGGGAGGATTTCTGCGTCGAGTTGAACGCCTCGTAGAGGTAGGGCCTCGAGGCCGGGTGATGGCTGGCCGGGTAGTGCAGGTGGTTGAGAGGGTTCAACGGGTGTTGCATGGAGGAGATCGAGTTTATCGAGATGGAGGAGATCGGCGTGAACGCCGAACTGCTGTTCGGGTGGTGATTGGCGCCCGGTTGAGGGGTCTGTTGCCTGGAATCGTTCTCGATCGACTCGCCACGGTGGCCGTGGCCGGGCAACAGCATCTCTGGGTTCTGGTTCTGATGGTAGTCGGTGTGGTGATGGGGCAACCGGTCGTGAAGATCGCTGATTACCGAGTCCGGGCTCACTTTCGGCCAGTAGTGGTCCTGATGATGGGCCGCCATCGCGTGGATCGACGGCCTCAGCCCCGTCCCGATTATAGGAGGTCTCTTGTCCGTCCTCTCCGCGTGTTTCTGCATGTGCTTCGCAAGATACGTCTCCTGGGTGTAACTCTTGCCGCAGTACTGGCAGATGTGCGTCTTAAGGTGCTTCGATTCCTTGTGCTTCGGTATGTGCTCGAGCAAGCTGGGCTCGTCGGAGAAGCACTTGTAGCAAGAGTTACACTTGTACGGCTTGTCGGTCTGGTGACAGCGGGAGTGGCTCTGCAAGTTGCTCAGCTGGCTGAACGCCTTGGTGCAGCCTGGATGCCGGCACTTGTACGGTTTGTCACCGGTGTGCGTGCGGATGTGCTGCTGTAGGTGGCTCAGTTGGGTGAACTTCCGCTGGCAAATCTCGCAGCGGTACGGCTTGATGCCCAGGTGGATCCTGGTGTGCTGGGACAGGTACGAGGAGTTCGCGAACGCCTTCGAGCACTGGGTGCATTTGTACGGCTTCGCCTCGCGCATGTGGATCTGCGTGTGGAGCTGCAGGTCCGCCTTGCTACCGAAGATCTGCGAACAATCAATCATCCAACCGATTCGTTAATTAATCGCAAGAAAAAGAAAAAAGAAGAAGAAGAAGAAGAAGAAGAAGAAGAGGAAAAGGAAAAAAGAAAAAGAAAAGAAACAAAACCGTACTCAGCTCCAAGCGTAAGTATGCTGCTACGCTGATCGAGATAATTTTTGCGCAAATGAACAACATGCGATGAAATAAAGTTATATTTAATCATTAGATACGATCGGTATCCTTATATTTCTAGTCTCTGGATTAACAATGAATTATTAAAAGAATGGGAATCCACTGGACACGAGGAGGCAAAGTCTACCTTGGGAACTTTGCCTCGTGCGAAAGAGTAACGATGTTATCGAACAGAACGGGTAACGGCGGTAGCCTTTTTTCGCGGCGTCTATTGCGCCGCGATTAACCGAATAACGAGAGAGAGGCGATCCACGACGGGGGGTCAAGGGGGTTCCACATCGTTGTCCGTCGTTTATACCCTCCCCCCTTCCTCCTCCTCCTCTCTCTCTCTCTCTCTCTCTCTCTCTCTCTCTCTCTCTGCGCATTAGCCGAGAGCCGCGGTATATTTATAAATAAATAAATGTAAACGAGGACTGGCGGTAGCCGGAGCATACGTGTAAAGGGGGGAGAGGATGACCTTGTCTATCATGGCCTAGCCTCCAGGCATACCTGACTGACTGGCTTTATAGCTACCGCATACAGATCTCTCTCTCTCTCTCTCTTTTTCCCTTCCTCCTCTCCTTCTCCCTCTCCCTCTCTTAATTCCCCCCTTCCACGTCTTTTTATTTCGTCTCTGTCCGTCTTTCGCCCTCCGCCCCGCGCCCCTTTTTGTACCTGCCCTCGGTGTCTCGGCTCCTCTTTGTACGGTAGTAGTAGGTTCGCCCGTCGGTAGCCTTAAATACCTACTACCTTCTCTTTCTTCCTCTTTTTTTTCTCCTTTTGTCCTCTTTTTGTATTCCTCTTTCTCTCTCTCTTTCTCTCTTTCGCGCTCTCTCTCTCTCTTTCTCTCTCTCTCTCTCCCCCCCTGTTGCGCGTCGCGAGTCGAAGGGAGAGGGAGAGGTATAGGGAGAGGGAGGGGGAAGAGAAAAGAGCAACGCCGCTCATTACCGCTCCTCCTTCTGCTCGATATCAATATTGACTCGGATCGTGTTCTAATTTGTCCGATCTAATTGATACCCCGAGAAGGAAACGGACGTTTCTCGCGTGGAAACAAAGTCGCGGCGACTTCCGCTCGTTCCACGAATCGGCCACGATCGCGCGACAGGATAATTTTTGTCCCGTGGATGGACCGGTTCTCGACATTCCCTCGATTTTAATTTTAATCAATCGATCGCCGTGATTCATCCTCTTCGACAACACTTGATTGTCGTATGATAATTCAACTTTGACCCGCCAACTTCGATGTTGCGATCGTTCGACCGAAAGAGAAATAGAGAGGGAGGAGAGAGAAGAGCGATTCGATCGTATAATCGCGGAGATTCCTTCCGAAAGATCGAAGGAATCGCGACGACGCGTGTTCAAAGGATCGTTGAAGGCGTTGGATGGCGACCGACAAAGGAATCGAACCAACAATCGAACTAATAAATGGAAACTATCCTGGACACGCGAGAAATGACGTGGTGGTGGTGGTTAGTTTCCTGTCTGCGGATCGCGGATCCGCTCGAGATTGTTACGTAAAACGACGGATTCCTTTCTCGGATCTGGTCTGTGCCACGCCCCTGGATCATAGCCGCGATCCGTGGCCTTCCTTTGGATCCTACCGATCCCGTCCATGTCGATGCTCTTGCTTAATAATCCCGTTTAATCGTTCGGAGACACGCGATACAACTTTTTTTCCCCAACCTCACAACAAACAAACGATCTTGATCTTTGAAGGAAAGGATCGTCGAATCGATCGTTTTAATTCGGTTTCCAATTAGATTGCTTAATATAATACGAGGGATGCTTTGATAAATTTGCGGTAAACGGGAATGGATTCTGTATTAAATGCATTAGGTATACGTAATGATGTTTGTATAATTTCGTTAAAAATTCGCGGTTTTGGGAATAATCCGCCATTTTGACGAGTTTAATTTCGTTCCAATGATTAAATTATTCAATCAGAGGTCTTAAGAAGTTTTATTCGAATGAAGCATCGTTATTCGTAAGAGTGTAAAAATAAAACAGCTTTACAAATAGCGATTCAATTATGCGTTAAGTTTTAATAAAATTCAATTTTATCGCGTCATAATGCATAATTGAAATAATTACTAGGAAGATAAGAGATCAGAGATTTTGTAATATATCGTAAGCAACTTGTGCATATCCTATCGAAAATAATCGAGTATTTTCGAATATTTTCCATCACAATAGCTCGTATACATCTTCTCTGCCATTTCTAAATAATTTTTAATTAATAGCTTTATATAATATTTTACCACCCAATTACATTTAATTATTTTACACCTAATTTATATATATATAAAACACTTATAGAAACGAATTTACAGAAGACAGGAAGGGGGAGGTGGGATTTCTCGAGATAAAGCCGTTTCTTCCATCTCGTTTACCGGATCTTCGAAAAGAAGCCGAACGACGAATTAGGTCAAACTTGTCACCAAAAAAAAAAAAAAAAAAAAAAGGAAAAAAAAAGAAAAGAAACTCGAGCGGATTATCGCCAGTCGCCAAACTTTGATCCGCTAAAAGTGACGACGGAGGCGGCCAGCCTCGAGGCTGTGAAGATTGTCGAACCGTTACGAATTTTTACAACCGTTATGATAATATTTCCAAACCGAGAGGAGAGGAGATCGAGCTGATGGCTAGACTCCTCTAGAGAACAATTTTCGCGATATCAGAAATTAAATAAGTTAAGTAAAAAAAAAAAAAAAAAAAAAGAAGTCTTTTTATAGCATATAGAAAATTCAACCAATGGGCAATTTCGCAACGTTCGAACGAAATACGTAATTCGCACATTCATTTCCGGAGTGTGAAGAAAAATAGTGTAGTAGTTCTCATCCCATGACGGATGACACAAAATCGTAGATTAGATCGAGAACTTGATTCATAATCCAAGAAACGAGATAAACTCTTCTCGTTCGAAAGGAAATAAAAAAAAAAAAAAAAAAAAAAAAAAAAAATTTCGACCACGGTCAGTTAAAGTAAAACGGAATCGTGAAACGATCGAAGCGGAACGAACGAATGCGCGAGAGATCAGGCGCGATAATCTCGTGTGCGTGAACAGAGAGAGAGGCAGGGGAGGGAGGAGAGAGAAAGAGAGAGAAAGAGAGAGAGAGAGAGACTCACGAGGAAGCTTGATCCCGACGTATACTCTATCAGAAACGTGTGAACCGAGGATCTCTTGTATTACAAAGAACTTAGTATCTCGGTATAGCGCAGTTTTCTTTTTCCTTTTTCCTTTTTTTTTCCTTTTTTTCTTTTGGTCAGAGATGAGCCAAAGGCCATGTCCAATGGAATGTAGAAGACACGGAGGGAAATACGATTACAGAAGAAGTACAGGGGACAGGCAGGACGATGAGGTCGTGGAATTAAAGGATTGCAGAGGGAAGATAAAAATATGGGAGGGTGGAGGAGAGGCTTATTTGAAGAGGAGCGGAGATGAAGGGTTCAGGGATGCAACGCCGTGGGGCACAAGTAAAATAGAGCCGAGAGGTGGACGGGATGTTTCATAAGCCATGGATGCTACTTTGGTGCACGTGGTTCGCCGGTGGTGGGAATATAATGTATCTCTGGGATATGCGCTTGTTTCGTTCGTCTTTTGTTCTTCGGTTTATCGTTTCGCGCTTTTTCTTTCTTTCGTCGAAAGTGGAAATCTCCGGCAAATCTGTTTCCGCGTTTGATAGGTATTATACCATATATTGTTGGAGAAATTTATTTTCGTTTCTCGGTCAGGCTCGGGATATTGTGACAAATTATGTCACAAATTATGAGAATTTTTTTCATCGTACAATTTTGCTTATAATCGTAGGAGGTGCATAAAAGCATTAAACATTCAATTATTTACTCTTTTCGAGTAAAATATTCAATTAAATTCCATCTTCTTTTCTTTTTTTTTTTTTTTTTTTTTATTATTATCGTATCTTCAAAATTTACAAAATCATTCAAAATCAACGAACTCTTGTTCTCTTAAGGATAAAGAAATTGACGATTGAAATATTTTCTCGTATTCAAAAGTGCAATTTCGATTCGTTTCCGATTTCTTTCTTTCTTTTTTTTTTTTTTTTTTTTTAAATAATCGTTTCAACTCGGGAGAGAAAGAGAGAGAGAGAGAGAAATATCGAGGATACGTATCGGAAAACGAAAGAGAATTGATCGTTCGTAACTATACTCGGATCTTGCGAAACGGCGTTACATAAACCTGAGCAGGAAAATAAGAATATAGATCATAATATAGAGATCGAAAAACGATACAGCATAATTCCCACTAATTGAAGAAATCTTTTTCACGTAAAATCGTACGAACGCGTGAAGAAAAAAAAAAAAAAACCAAACAAATCATCGATCAAACCTCGAAGGAAGCCCGGTTGACTTAACCATTGGAAACCATTCCGTTCGAGCGGAATAAAAAACCGGGAGCAAAGCGTGCAACAATCTTCCCTGCATCGCGAACCACCATCTTTAATCAAACCAATCTCCCTTACCGATAAACTTAAGAAAACGACCCTGGAGAATCGATCCTTCCTAGCGAAGCGTCGCTACGCTAAGACGCTTCTTCGAGGAAAAAAAAGAAAAAAAAGAAAAAAAAAAAAAAAAGAGAAAAAGAAAAAGAAGAAAAAAAAGGAAACGAATCTCGGAATACGAATACCGTTATTTTGTCTGTTCCTCGCGATTCCTCTCCACCTCCTTAATTTTAATGGATAAAGAGTCTGGAAGAGTCTAGACTCGACCTCGACTCAGCACCGTCTGGCGATCCTTTTACCCGTGATTTATTCGGCGATCGTGCGTCGTTGCGTGCGTCTTCAACAGCTGACTTGCTGATGTTCTTTAACGGCTTTGG